GCTTTGAGCTGCAGTAAAGGAGTCGGCAGAGACAAGGAGTTTTAACAAAAATTGGAAGATAGAGAAAAAGAAGTAAGGAATGTTCTGTTTTGTAGGCGACTAAAAAAAAGGTTTTAATTTAGCATGCTACTTTCAGTGCAGACACCAACCAGCTGATGCTCTCTCTCTATCGCTCCGTCACTCTGTCTGCCCGCCAGGCTCCTCTGATCCTCTGCTATGCTCTTTCATTGTCCTGCAGTTGCGTCTAGAGGCTACCTCCAGCCAACTGTAGCCCCTCCTAGGTTTGTCTCCCTGGTACGTTTCTCCAATGTACCACTTTCTTTCTGCCAGCTACCCCCAGCCTCTCCCCCACCTTCTGTATCTGTAAAGGGATGTGATGATCAGCTAGACTACTTGGAAAAACCAGTCTGGAAAAATAACACGAACAATGGACTTTGTCTGGATAAAGCAGCAGAAACCTGGGAGAAACAGAAGGTAAGTTAAAAGAGTTTATCATTAAAAACTAAAGGGAGACACTCCGGTGGAGACCGAGTGTGTGTACAGAAATGAGAAATTTAGAAGTGAAAATGATAGACTATTGTTGAAAAACATCTGCACTTGAAAGACCAGCCGATCCTGAATCAGACCCCAGCTGAAGAGCTAAGAGCCTAATGTAGAAGTCACATGTTTGGAGGTTCATATTCCCCATGTTAGACCAATAAATGTGGGCTTTATAAAAGGGCCACCAGCTTTGAATCCGCTGAAAGTAGATGGATGAACTGTGCTTTCTACTTACAAAGAAATGTATATGTCAGGGGATTTAAATATTCATTGGAGTCTAAAATATCCCCACTAAAGAAATGGTTTATGATTTAAAACACCCAGTGAAACGACCTACTCGGATTTTCTGTGAGAAATTAGGGCACATATCTTTAATGTGCAATGATCATAATTACTCCAATTACAGTGCTGTTTGCTCTAAAACAGATTCTGCACACACCTTAGTGTAGTTATATGAAAGTTAAGGCACTAAAAACTGGGAAAGAAGAGATGCTGTGGGAATGTTTGTGAAGATTTTCAGTGACAGGGATAGGGATAAAAGGTATAGACCTGATTGTCAATCTTTTCTATAACCTGTTTTTTTTCTGTTGTAAATAAACATGCACCGCTAAAGAAGGATACTGTCAAAGGTAAGAAGGCTTCATGGATTGATGGAGAGCTCAGACACAGGATGGCACACAGACTCATTGAAAAAGGAAGCATGTGCTTCAAGGAAAACTGCTCAGCCTGAGAAATGGACAGCCTGCTGCAAAGACAGGAACAGAGGATATTATAGACACAAAAAAAGAACGATGGGAGAAATCTCTGGAATACCTTTATAGGAGCAGATAACAGAACTTTTTAAAGGCAAATTAATTAAACTTAGAAACTTCGCACAGATAGTCAGATAGTTCTGCATCAGGAGAGATGAACGATCGGTGGTACACCAATGTTAATAAAATTTATTCCAGGTGCTGCTTTTGACTCAGGAGATCATGATTTGATCTGCCAATAGATTTGCTTTCACGCCACTAAACTAGGTAAGACGCGACTTGACCTGTAGAGCAGAGGTCACGGATCAGCAGACCCACCTGGACCCACCTGCTGGCTAATCTGGAACAAACCTGATTTAAAACATTTATAAATTACCGCATGTTGTCCGACGACAGTCTAACTTTACTTGCACCGCTTCTCCTGTTAATACGGTAAAGCCCTCCAGAGCGTCCAGCACCAGGCTACACGTGATAGAAATTAGCCAATGAGCTGCTGTCAGTTTGGGTTGCTGCTGCTGCTGCTTTTAGACACAGCAGGCAAACCTGTGGCAAGCCGGGCGATGGGAAAGAAGGAGAAGATGATGAGAAAAAGAGAGCAGAGAAAGAGTGGACTGCTGGAAGAACTGCAGTGAAATGGTGAAAGAAAAGTGAAATGGTGCTCAAAGATGACCCTGCACATTTAGAGGATGTTTGGCTCAACCTGCTGCTGTGAAGCAGGATTCTCCACCATACGGTAAAGCTAATTACAAATGTCTCTGGACCTTTACTGGTTGTGGATTTTCTTTATTCAGACCCCTTTGATTTTGAATTGGTCCCCCCTGTCCTAGAGGTTATAACTCCATTATAGAGATACATAGTGTGTTTACACAGGACAAACTAAAATGCACACACATACTTATAGTACAATTTGAAAAGGCCAATCAACCCGGCAAGGATGTTTTTGAACTGCGAGGGAAACTTGGAGTACTTTAGGAAAATCCATGTAATGGTAAAGGTAGTCCCATTACTCCATGAAATATGATTATTGATTTTGTATTATTTAGTATTAAATGAGAAGAAATAGTTGGGTTGTTTAAGTTCTTTATTGTAGTTTTGTTTGAACTTTTTTAATGCATTCTTGTGAAGCACAATGACTGGTCATCCTACCTGTGGAAAGAAGTGTAAACATTGGTGTCAATAATTTTTCCTTAGTTTCTGTTTATGTAAAGTTAAAGTACCTACCTTTTCCTGGTCTGGCTCCTCAGCAGGGCGTGTCAGAAAAAGGTAGAAGTGCTCCAGGTGTTGCAATGCACTTGGAGCAAACCAAAATGTTCAGCAGGATACTTTTGGATTAGTTTTTTAATTTGATGGGGTTTTTGTGATTGACTTTATATTTGTTTAATTGTTTTGACTTATAAGTAAATATCACTTTGGGTGTATCGTTTATTGTTTTGGTTTACGTTTATATGTATATTAATTTAGCTTCTTTTTCTTAATAATCCCTTTTCAGGGTTCCTTCCTTCATGTCACCTAAATTGAGGTTGGTATAACATGCTGTTTGTTCTTTTTAGTGTGAAAAGGTGTTGGTGTGCTCAAGCTGGAGTTCAATAAAACCACCATAACTTCAGTTTTGTCTTGCCTCTCCATTAAATATTGGGCCTCCCCCGGTCAAACTGACAACCTACTTATGCACAAGCATGACAAAAAATGTTTAAATGTTTTATGCCTTATTTTCTTAAACCCTAAAAAAAAAAAAAAAATAAAATACTGGCATCGTGGTGCTGTGCTCTTTCCTGTAGCCAGGTGGAGGTGATGATCCAAAAGAAAATTCAATTCAATTCAATTCAGTTTATTTATATAGCGCCAAATTCACAACACATGTCATCTCAAGGCACTTTACAGTTCCACCAGATCATACAGTCAAATTGATACAAAGTTTTCTATCTAAGGAAAACCAGTTGATTGCATTGACTCATTGACTCAAATACAATCCCCCACACTAAGCATGCTTGTAGCGACAGTGGAGAGGAAAAACTCCCTTTTAACAGGAAGAAACCTCCAGCAGAACCAGGCTCAGTGTGAGCGGCCATCTGCCGAGGCCGACTGGGGTTCAAGGAGACAGAAGCAGAGATACAAAAAGCAGCTGTAAAAGGCGGCCCCGTCCAGGAAACACACAGCCAGGCAGACGAGCTCCAAGGCAGCTCCCATGCCAGAGGACGAAGAGAGCACATCCGCTCAGTCACGGTCAGAGAAACAGGACCACACTGGAAAACAGGCCGATCTCCAACATCTATAAACAAGGGTGTTTATAGAAGCAGCACAGCTGATGTTTCTTTCCAGGATGACGTCACAGCCAAACAGGAACAGACGAGGCAAAGCTACTCTGAGGAAAAGCAGAGAGAGCAGAAGGTTAGAGAGTGAACTAACAGATTCTGCAGAATAGGAGAACAGAGAGAGAATGAAGCAGAATGATGAAATGGGGGTCCCTATGTCCTCCAACAGTCTAAGCCTATAGCAGCATAACTATAGAGATAGCTCAGGATAACCTGAGCCACCCTAACTATAAGCTTTATCAAAAAGGAAAGTTTTAAGCCTAGCCTTAAAAGTAGACAGGGTGTCTGCCTCACGGACTAAAACTGGTAGTTAGTTCCACAGGAGAGGAGCCTGATAACTAAAAGATCTGCCTCCCATTCTACTTTTAGAAATTCTAGGAACCACTAGTAAACCTGCAGATTGAGAGCGAAGTGCTCTGTTAGGAACATAAGGAACAATCAGATCTCTGATATCAGATGGAGCTTGGCCATTTAAGGCTTTATATGTGAGAAGGAGGATTTTAAATTCTATTCTTGATTTAACAGGAAGCCAATGAAGAGAAGCCAGGATAGGCGAGATATGATCTCTCTTTTTAATTTTCATTAGAACTCTGGCTGCAGCATTTTGGATCAGCTGAAAGCTTTTAACTACAGTTTGTGGACTTCCTGATAGTAAAGAATTACAATAGTCCAGCCTTGAAGTAACAAATGCATGGACTAGTTTCTCAGCATCACCCCTGGACAGGATATTTCTAATTTTTGCAATGTTCCTCAGATGAAAGAAGGAAATTCTAGAAACCTCTTTGATATGGGATTTAAATGACAGGTCCTGATCAAAAATAACACCAAGATTTTTTACTTTATTATCTGAAATCAGTTTAATCCCATCCAAATGAAGTGACTGGCTAATCAGTTTCTTTTTCAGAGACTCTGGTCCAAAGACTATAACTTCTGTTTTGTCTGCATTCAGAAGCAGAAAGTTAAGAGTCATCCAGGTTTTTATGTCTTCAAGACATGCCTGTAATCTATGTAATGGGTTAGCTTCATCTGGATTTAAATCAAAGTATTGTCATCAATGATTGCCATTTTTTATTTTCAGAAAAAACACAGCTTTCACAATTCAGTTAATACACTTTAACAATGACAAATATTGAATTTGAAGGATCTTTAATCACTTCCTACGAAATTGTTAACTATCGGTAAGACCTTGATAGAACAAAGAAGGAGCTTTATTTATATTTTATGCCAGGTAGCCTCTTTATAACTATGCACATTCCATTAGATATATGTAAGATAAAATATAATATATTAAATTAAACAATAACAAGTGTAAAAGCAGTATGTACGGCTACAGATAAGTAATTTTCTGACGTTCTTTAGCTGTTGTCTTTTTTAGGTGCGATTAACCATCCGATACCTTTCATAACTGCGGCACCTCCTAGTGCTGCCATTTGTGTGGCTGACAAAGCTGCAGCTTCCCCTGCCATCATTGCACCACCAACTGCAGGTGCAGCTGCTCCTGCTGCTGCTAACATTAAAGAACCTCCTGCATTCTCCACACGTTGTCCAACCTGAGCCCACCACAGTTTCTTCTGGGCGTTTTCGTAAATCTCGCTGGTGTAATGACCTCTATTTAATTCTACCACCTTGTCCATAATCTCAAAGAGATCATTCACCTGAGTGCGATTTCCATTGTTCTTATTCTCAAACACAACATATCTACCTTCACAGTCACTAATGAGCTTCTCCAGATCCTCACTCTCTTTCAAATAGTTCTCAATGGTGCCTTCAAGCTCATCACCTCTGGTGAAAACAACAACTGTGTACTTTGAGACTCCCTCACCAAAGTTTGCCGTGATCCACTTGATGGTATTCTTCCCCTCTTCTGTAAAGACTTCAGCAAGACTGATGACAAGCAGGAATATATGTGGTCCAGGAAGAGACATCATGATACATTTCTCTATTTCTGTTTTTAAGTCTTTCTCAGTAAGCTTTGTGTCGAACATCCCCGGAGTATCGATGACGGTCACTGTTCTGTCATTCAGGAGACAAGTTCCTGATTGACATTCCTTAGTTACAGATGAAGGAGACTTGACGGCAGTAAAAGCCTTCCTTCCCAGGATGGTGTTCCCTGTTGAACTTTTACCAGCTCCAGTTTTTCCCAGGAGGACAATTCTTATGTCTTTGAAAGAACCAGAAAAAATGTGTTGGAAAAAGTCACAGTTAAAGACTGGTTTAGATTCAGGAAGTTATAACTACGGCCTGTCAAATACATGGATAAGTTACTGAGGAAGAAAGACATACTGACCTTTAGCTGAGTCTGAATCCATGTTGGACAGGATATAAAAGAAGATCTAGATAAAGTAGATCTGGATCAACTTTAACTGCAGAAAAAGTTGTTTTGCTCTCGGCTCCAGCTTCGGGCTGTTTATGTCCTTAATTCTTATTCCTCCACCACAATAGTAGTCCCTCCCTTTTTCCTCCTTAGTTAGGCCAAACCTTCTTACAGTGAAATGAAACTGTCCTGTGTGTTAACCTAACCTGTTTCACCAATAATGAACCTCAGAGAACAGTAGATAAGTTAATGGACCGGTTGCAACACACACTTATGGGAAACGTGGCATTTTAATAAGAGGTTTAAAATAGTTTGACTAGTTTTCTTGAACTCCATATTTTGGATTGGAATTATTCTTTATTTTATGTATAAGCTTGTTGAAACCCATATGTGACCAACCTGTTTACTTTATTACATAGTTTTCCAACCCATAGTGTAACATTATAAAATATAGAAGCTAATGAAGCGGAAGATTCAAAGGTGATGATTTTTAACAGAGAAAACTCTGACAGCAAGCAGTGGAATGTCCTTGATCTTAGAACGCTGTGTATCAGGGTGTGACTCTGCAGATCTATAAAAAGATTCTCTCTTTCTTTTTTTTTTTTAAAGGTTATTTACAATTTTTTGGGGGGTCATTCCTGTCAAGCCCCTGTATGCCAGTTGTATATAACCCCAGCCATTTCCTTAGTCTGAGAAAAATTAAAGGAGTGTTTGATCCCAGTTATCACATCTAAAAAATAAAATAAATAAAACTGGGGAAAAGAAAGAAAAATAGGCATCTTTAGAAGAGCATACATATTTCCTGGAAACATGTTTAGAGTCATATTGTATTTCCCTGGTGTTAAAACAGTAAAACCTTTCTTTAAAAAACAATATAGCTTTTGCAGTTTGGCTGGCAAACAAAAGTTTATCTGCCGTAAAAACACAAATAACAGACATTTTCCACCTTATTCTTTAGACCACAACAGGGCTTTAAAAGGATAAACTATATAGATGAATATAGGGAGGGAATTCCTTAAAACATTCAAAGAGAATCTGACGAACAGAAACAGGAGGCGGTTTCTCTATTGCCACCACGGGAAAACAATAGTTTGGACTTGAATAACAATACTCTGAAAGTAACCATGGGTTTGGAGCTTTCTAACATTTTGATGTCAGGACTCCAGTCTCAGTGTTTGTTTTTGTGTTGTTCTCCCTTCCACCAACAGGAGGCGCCTGGTTCTGGTCTGCCTCCTCACACACCTGATGATGGTTGCCTCGTTAACGGAGTGCTCTTAAGCTGCTGATTGCCACTACCTCGACGCCAGAGTGTTTGCTAGTTTTGGGTACTCTAGCCAAGCTGAGTTTTTGCTGAGTAAGACTGAGTTCTTGTCTACCTGAGTTTTAACTTCATTTTTGTCTTTGTCTCTCGGCAGGAAGTCATCCTGCAAACTGGACCTTTTCGGACCTCCTCTCCCAGGAGGGATCAACTGAGTCTCAAACCGAGCTGGGGATTCAAACTGGAGGTCTGGATCCAGTTTCCTTGAGAGGACGTTGAGTTTACTCTCTGAGCAAGGGAATCATCTCCACAACGATCCATTCAAGTACAGCAGGAAATCTGAGTGGCAGTCAGTTTCTCCATTCACCAACAACCATCAGAGTTCTGGGTAAACCCTGTTCCGCCCTCCACCGAATCAGAATAACACTGGAAAACAGCACACAGATTGGAGTCAAAGATCCTATAGCTTCTCTGGAAACGTGAGTCAACAACCAGATCCTCTTCTCCAAATCCACGGCTGAAATTTCCCACTGAGCCTGAACTAATCGTTTGTCTTCCCTTCACCTTCCAGTTCCGGTCGAGCAGAGTTCAGAGCAACTCTGCACCGTGACTTATCTCTTCAATAAACCTGTTAAACCTTTCTCCTGGTGTCTCTCTGAATTGGTTTCTCTGCATGTGGGTCCGAGCTTTAGATAAAACCATTGTCATGATTGGTCTTGGGATTAAACCCACATGCAGAACACCACTGGAGACTGATAAAAAGTTCAACAGATTTATTTAAAGGTTTTCACAACAATGACATGACTGGATTCAGGAACTGGACCGGGCAGGATTCTCTGGCGTCTGCAGAGACGGACAGATTGGTTAGCCAGGTTAACAGATGATTTGTTGAGTTTCTGATGTTTCTTAGAATACCTGAAGGGGTCCAGGTTTTCTTGTCTGAGAGAGGGAACCGGTTGGGTCCAGAGACTGTTGGTTCAGCAGAGTGCTCAGCAGCAGCAGCGTCTAGCTTCTGACTTTGAAAGGCAGACCTTGATCAGAGTTTCCAGCTCTTCTCTGAGAGCAACAGGAGGAATCCAGACTGGAATCTTCAGGTTTGGCTCACCAAGGCTGGAAGGCAGGTTAAGCTCATCCAGAGCTTCAGACTTGAGACAGGTTTCCAAACTAAGGTCAACACTGCGGCGTTGAAGGAAGGCCTGGCAGCTGCTTAAATAGGCTGGTCTCCTGATGGGCTGATGATCGGCAGCTGTGCTGGAGGGCTCCAGCCCAGGAGATCCACAGCGCACCCTGCTGGAGACAGGGGCGTCTTGTATCCACCCCCTCACGGGTGGATACAAGACGCCCCAAACTAGTCCAGAAAAAGGAAAAAACACAATACAACCCACCCAGGGAGGGCGGAGGGGGCACCAGGCAAGGAGGCCAGGAAACAACAAAAACAGAGTCCAAAACAAAAAACAACCCACCCAGGGTGGGCGGAGGGGGAACCAGGCAAGGAGGGCAAAAAACAAAAACTGAATCTAGAACAAAAAACGATCCACTTACGGTGGATGAAAGCAAAGAAAGTCTCAGAAGATTTTTTGGGCAGAGTCTCAGGTGGCCAGTCGTAGGACCGGCAGCGGGGCAGAGTCTCAGGTGGCCGGGCGTGGGACCGAAGGCATGGCCGACGTTCCGGGGGCCGGCTGCGGGGCCGGAGGCGTGGCAGAAGTTCTGGAGGTTGGCCGTTGGGACGGAGGCGAGGTAGACGATCTGGGGGTCTGCCGCGGGGCCGGAGGCGAAGCTGACGATCAGGAGGTCGACCGTGGGGCCAGAGGCATGCAGCTTCTCAGGAGGATGACGCCCCAATTCCAGTAGGTAGCCCCATGGGGTACCCCATCCCCTCTTCAGCGGCTCTTGAACAGGCTCAGAGGAGACTGCCGACTGTGGCTCCTGGACTGGAACAGGCTCTGAGGAGAGCGCCGACTGCGGCTCCTGGACTGGAACAGGCTCTGAGGAGAGCGCCGACTGCGGCTCCTGGACTGGAACAGGCTCTGAGGAGACCACCGACTGCGGTTCCTGGACTGGAACAGGCTCTGAGGAGACCACCGACTGCGGTTCCTGGACTGGAACAAAGGAGTCCGCCGATTGCGGCTCCGGATCAGGAACAGAGGAGCCCGCCGATTGTGGCTCTGGATCAGGAACAGAGGAGCCCGCCGATTGCGGCTCCGGGTCAGGAACAGAGAAGCCTGCCGATTGCGACTCCGGGTCAGGAACAGGGGAGCCCGCCGATTACGGCTCCAGGTCAGGAACAGAGGAGCCCGCCGATTGCGGCTCCGGGTCAGGAACAGAGAAGCCCGCCGATTGCAGCTCCGGGTCAGGAACAGGGGAGCCCGCCGATTGCGGCTCCGGGTCAGGAACAGAGGAGCCCGCCGATTGCGGCTCCGGGTCAGGAACAGAGGAGCCCGCCGATTGCAGCTCCGGGTCAGGAACAGGGGAGCCCGCCGATTGCGGCTCCGGATCAGGAACAGAGAAGCCCGCCGATTGCGGCTCCGGTTCAGGAACAGAGGAGACCACCGACTGTGGCTCCAAAACCAGCATGGAGGAAACCGCCCATGGAGGCACATGTTTAGTCTCTGAGGTGGCTTGAAGTGCCTGCAGAGGGTCCTTGGCGGTTTGAAGTGCCTGCAGAGAGACCCTAGGAGGCATAAAACCACATACCCCGAATTCTGACACCTCTTTAAAAGTCTGCTCAGGGGTCTCTGGACGGCACAGAGCTAACTCAGGGGTCTCTAGACGGCACAGAACTGACTCAGGGGTCTCTAGACGGCACAGAGCTGACTCAGGGGTCTCTAGACGGCTCAGAGCTGGTTCAGGGGTCTCTAGACGGCTCAGAGCTGGCTTACAGCGCCGCCGTCTCTTACGTCGGGGTTCTATGGAAACTGGGCTAATAGGTTCGGAGACTGACTGAGGCAAAAGGTTAACAGGTGTGCTAGTGGGTTCAGGTGCTAAACTAACTGGTTGGTAGGAAAATGAATGAGGTGGCATGAAGGGGAATAGATCATCTCTATCCCCATAGAAAAAAATCCAGAGATCAGATTCCTGGATTACGGGGGCTCTGACTGCCTGGGTTGTGAGTTGTGGTTTGAAATTTATCCTTTTAACGGATGGTGCTAGCTGGCGGTCATGTAGGTGATGGCTGAACTGGATTGAATTGTGCGGAAGTGGACTGAACAGAGCTGTACTGGACTGGACTGAGCTGGACTGGGCTGGGCTGGACTATACTGGACTGGACTAGACTGGACTGGACTGGACAGATCTGGACTGGACTGGGCTGAACTGATTTCCTAGACCTGGGTTTGACTCTTGTGTGTGGATTATGATCATGATATTGAGCTGTGTAGATGAGTTCTTCCAGGGTTTCAGGTTCACCCATTTCTGCTAGTTTGTCCCTAATCTCTTTATTTAATGCGTTTCGGTAGATATTTTTTAGCATAGGTTCAGTCCAGCAGGAAGCAGCGGCTCTAACCCGGAAGTCGATTGAAAACTCCTCTACGGTTCTATTTCCCTGTTTGCAGTTTGACAGACCATGAGACTCAGCAGGTTTATCAGAAAATGTTCGAAAAAACTCATCTTGAAATTGATCAAAAGTACAGGTTATACTGGATTCTGGAGAAAAACGGGTCTCTTTCCACTCGTAGGCTTTACCGAATAAAAGTGAGAAAATGAAAACTATTTTTCTCTCATCGTCGGGAAAATTGGACGGATTGAGCTCGAAGAACAATTTACACTGCCAAAGAAAACTTTTGCATTCACTAGATTTGCCAGAAAATAGTGAAGGACGGAAAACAGGAAGTGACGGAACTGGTTCTGACCTTGGAGGCGGGTTTGGCTCCAGAATCGGAAGTTGAGCTGGCGCCATCTTGTGATTCCCACGAAGCCTTGAAACGTTTGTTTTCTTTGACTCAGAATTGGTGTTTAACTCACGGAGGGTTGAATTGATGTGATCAGCTTGCTCCTTGGTTAAGCCCTAAACCCTAACCCTTGAGACAGGTTTCCAAACTAAGGTCAACACTGCGGCGTTGAAGGAAGGTCTGGCAGCTGCTTAAATAGGCTGGTCTCCTGATAGGCTGATGAACGTCAGCTGTGCTGGAGGGCTCCAGCCCAGAAGATCCACAGCGCACCCTGCTGGAGACCGGTGGCAGATCTCCAGATCCCAACAACCATGACATTTGCATTTTATGAGGTTATAACAAATCATATTGTGATTGTATATGATATAGGAACGCAAAGAAATATATTATTTTTAAGTCAAAGAAAAATGCAGAACCTTTACAACATTACCAGAATAAAAAATAAATATACACATATTTTTCAGGTCACGGCAACAAATTTTATAAAGTATATCACCAGCTTTGCCTGTCTACCTCAGCTGTTAACATTTTCCTTTACAAAATAGCTGAAGCACCCTTAGTATTGATGGACTTGAGAGCGTGTGGTAACATAAATGCTGAAGCATCACTGCACATTTACCATTGGATCTGGTCTGGGCCATTTCACATTAATTTAATTCAGGTCTGGCTATACTGTATGTTCAGCATCCCCATCATTCAAGTGTTTGGGATCAGAAATGGAAAGAGCAGCAATACATGCACTCCATGTGACCTCCGTGGAATCATATTTTTCCTTGGCCTGTTTGTGAGATAAATGTTTAAAGTGTGCCTTTTCTCTGCCTGAATAGGGGGATTATTCAGAAGCCTTGTTCCATTTTCTATGTTGAGATGTGGGAAAAGGAAGGAGGTTTGAGAAGAAGTTTCCTCCTTAGTTTAGATAAGAAGGAAACCTAGATGAGCATGTCCTCACTGTGTTCAAGGTTCTCACATGTGAATGGAAAACAGTTGTCTGAAATGTTTATCTGACTAAGTTTATGTCTTTGATGAACTGAATTGTTTCTCTTGGGAAGACTCAATGCTCAAGTGTGAGAATTCTCTTTATATGCAGGGGTGGGCAGCCACCTCACCAGAGCCACACTGAGAGCTGTATTCAGCTGTTTGTGTCGTTGTCCTCTGCAGAGTAAAATAAAACTTTTTCTTCATTGCGTATTGCATTTCAGTGCTCATTTTTACTTCACACTTCAATGAATGGCTGCTAAAAGCATTAATGAATCAGCCAAGTATCAGCCAATACCAATACAAGAAAAAAAATCCAATGATCGACATAAAATATCGGCTAGCTGTTGTGCTGGTTTATCTGTAAATGAGACCCCTGCTGCCTATCTTCAGTGGTAACTGGGAGGAAGACCTGGTACACTCCTGGTATAGAGGTTATGAATGTATTTTATAGATACATAGTGTGTTTACACAGGACAAACTAAAACGCACACACGTACTTAGAGTACAATTTGAAGAGACCAATCAACCCAGCAGTGGTTTTTTTGGACTTTGAGGGGAACCTTGAGTACTTTAAGAAAACCCAATTATGAACAAGCATGACAAAAATGTTTCAAATGTTTCATGCCTTATTTTTTTTTTTATAAAAAAGAAATCTGGCATCATGGTGTTGTGCTGTTTCCTGTAGCCAGATGGAGGTGATGATACAAAAGAAAATCAAAGTACTGCCATCAATTTTTGCTACGTATATATTATTTTATTTTCAGAAATAAACAGAGAAAAAAACTTTGCTTTTACAATTCACTTATTACACTTTAACAGCACTTTCACTCATACACTTTAAATGATATTGAATTTGAAGGATCCTTTATCCCTTTCTGAGAACTTCTTAAACATAGGTAAGACCTTGATAGAACAAAGAAGCTCTATTTTCATTTTACAGCATGAAAGGTAGCCTCTTTATAACTGTGCAAGTCCCATTAGATATATGTAAGATAAAATACAATATATTTAATTGAATAATAAAAAGTGTAAAAGCAGTATGTACGGCTACAGATATGTCATTTTCTGACGTTCTTTAGCTGTTGTCTTTTTTAGGTGTGATTAACCATCCAATACCTTTCATAACTGCTGCACCTCCTAGTGCTGCCATTTGTGTGGCTGACAAAGCTACAGCTTCCCCTGCCATCATTGCACCACCAACTGCAGGTGCAGCTGCTCCTGCTGCTGCCCACATTAAACAACTTCCTGCATTCTCCACACCTTGTCCAACCTGAGCCCACCATAGTTTATTCTGGGCCTGTTCGTAAATCTTGCTGGTATAATGGCCTCCATTTAATTCTACCACCTTTTCTATAATCTCAAATAGATCATTCACCTGAGTGCGATTTCCAATGTTCTCATTGTTAAACACAACATATCTACCTTCACAGTCACCAATGAGCTTCTTCAGATCCTCACTTTTCTGCAAATGGTTCTCAATGGTGCCTTTGAGCAAATCACCCCAGGTAAAAACAACAACTGTGTACTTTGAGACTCCCTCACCAAAGTTTTCTGTGATCCACTCTATGGTATTCTTCTCCTCTGCTGTAAAGCGTACACCAAGCCTGATGACAAGCAGGAATATATGTGGTCCAGGAAGAGACATCATGATACATTTCTCTATTTCTGTTTTTAAGTCTTTCTTAGAGAGCTTTGTGTCAAACATCCCTGGAGTATCAATGATGGTCACTGTTCTGTCGTCCAGGCGACAAGTTTCTTTTTGACATTTCTCAGTCACAGATGAAGAAGACAAGTCGACATTGAAAGCCTTCTTCTTCTCTCCCAGGATGGTGTTTCCTGTTGCACTTTTACCAGCTCCAGTTTTTCCCAGGAGGACAATTCTTATGTCTTTGAAAGAACCAGAAAAAATGTGTTGGAAAAAGTCACAGTTAAAGACTGGTTTAGATTCAGGAAGTTATAACTAAGGCCTGTCAAATACATGGATAAATCTCCTGAGGAAGAAAGACATACTGACCTTTAGCTGAGTCTGAATCCATGTTGGACAAAATATAAAAGAAGATCTAGATAAACTAGAACTGGATGAACTTGACTTTAACTGCAGAAAAAGTTATTTTGCTCTCGGCTCCAGCTTCGTGCTGTTTATTTCCTCAATTCTTATTCCTCCACCACAATAGTAGTCCCTCCCTTTTTCCTCCTTAGTTAGGCCAAACCTTCTTACAGTGAAATGAAACTGTCCTGTGTGTTAACCTAACCTGTTTAACAATGAATGAACCTCAGAGAACAGTAGATAAGTTAATGGACCGGTTGCAACACACACTTATGGGAAACGTGGCATTTTAATAAGAGGTTTAAAATAGTTTGACTAGTTTTCTTTAACTCCACATTTAGGATTGGAATTATTCTTTATTTTATGTATAAGCTTGTTGAAACTCATATGTGAACAACCTGTTTACTTTATTACATAGTTTTCCAACCCATAGTGTAACATTATAAAATATAGAAGCTAATGAAGCGGAAGATTCAAAGGTGATGATTTTTAACAGAGAAAACTCTGACAGCAAGCAGTGGAATGTCCTTGATCTTAGAACGCTGAGTATCAGAGTGTGACTCTGCAGATCTATAAAAAGATTCTCTCTTTCTTTTTTTTTTTTAAAGGTTATTTACAATTTTTTGGGGGTCATTCCTGTTAAGCCCTGTATGCCAGTTGTATATAACCCCAGCCATTTCCTTAGTCTGAGAAAAATTAAAGGAGTGCTTGATCCCAGTGATCACATCTAAAAAATAAAATAAATAAAACTGGGGAAAAGAAAGAAAAATAGGCATCTTTAGAAGAGCATACATATTTCCTGGAAACATGTTTAGAATCATATTGTAATTCCCTGGTGTTAAAACAGTAAAACTGTTCTTTAAAAAACAATATAACTTTTGCAGTTTGGCTGGCAAACAAATGTTTATCTGGCGTAAAAACACAAATAACAGATATTTTCCACCTTAAAAGGATAAACTATATAGATGAATATAGGGAGGGAATTCCTTAAAACATTGAAATAGAATCTGACGAACAGAAACAGGAGGCGATGTCTCTATTGCCACCACGTGGCAACAATAGTTGGGACTTGCCTAACAACTGTGTAAGTATTCATGGGTTTGGAGCTTTCCAACATTTTGCATTTTATAAGGTTATAAAAAATCATATTGTGATTTTATATGATATAGCAGAGTTCACCGATTAGCAGACCAGGGTCTGGATCCGGACCCACCTGCTTGCTAATCCTAACCCAACCTGATTTAAAACATTTATAAATTACTGCATGTTGTCTGACGACAGTCTCTAACTTTACTTGCGCTGCTTCTCCTGTTAATACGGTAAAGCCCTCCAGAGCGTCCGGCACCAGGCTACAGGTGATCCAAATGATCCAATGAGCTGCTGTCAGTCTGGGTTGCTGCTGCTGCTACTTTTAGACACAGCAGGCAAACCTGTGGCAAGTCGGGCGATGGGAAAGAAGGAGAAGATGATGAGAAAAAGAGAGCAGAGAAAGAGTGGACTGCTGGAAGAACTGCGGTGAACTGGTGAAAGAAAAGTGAAATGGTGCTCAAAGATGACCCTGAACATTTATAGTATGTTTGGCTCAACCTGCTGCTGTGAAGATTTTAGATTTTAAAAAGGAAAGAAATTACATTTTTTATTTATTTATATTTTCTATTTAAAAAGTCAATGTATAACATGGATCCATAAACACTTCATTTTATTTCAGTGTTAAATTCTGTTTAAATTAACAGATTCTAATTAAAAATGTCTCCAGACCTTTACTGGTTGATGATTTTATTTATTCGGACCGTGCTGATCTTTAATTGGTTAGCCCTGCTGTAGATATTAATCTGTGTTTTTAGGACATCTGTGAAAGGGTAGTGCAACTCTATGCAGATGATCCTCTATGGAAAACCAAGAGCCTGTTGTTTAAATCTACACATCAGGCCATTGATGAGCTTTATATTTCACTCAGGAGGATGGAAGCTAAGCATGTGAAGCAGGTTAAGCTCCTCAGAGTATTAGCTGATGATCTGCTGTCATAGGAGAAACACTTTCACTGTAAAGAATATAACAGAAAATCCTTTTATTGTCCCACAGTGGGGAATTCTGTTTTTACAGCAGCAAAAAGATTATAGAAAAAAACGTCACACAAATGTGGACCTTAGAAGAATGTGTAAGAATAACGCAATAGTGAAGAACTAAAAGATAAATAATACAATACTGTACTATAAAGTGTTTTAACAATATCAAACTGTAAACCTGGAGAATAAATAACCAATATCAAGCTATGGACATTTTTACAGTAATGGTTATTTGAAAATAGCAGCAACATCAGAGATGAGCAAAATGACAGCAGCATGTTATTTAACTGACAATGGTAGAAACTGTGAAAAATAAGCACGAATGTAACAACTTGTTTAAGTTGTTGGGAATAGTAGTGGTTATGGAGTCTTACAGCTGCTGGGAAGATGGATCTGTGATAACGCTCCCTGGTGCATTTAAGGTGCATAAAGGTAGGAGTATTGTTGCAGCTAAAAAAAATGCCTGAAGTTCAGACTTAAAGAATAAAGCTGCATTGTCCATTGGATCGGAGCTCAGCTGTTCTTCATAAACATCCATCATAGCTTAGGGTGGTAGAAAGACTAAAGCTAAGCTACACGCTGCTTCGTTAGAAACATTTCAGAGCAGGCAACCTGCTTACTGAAACAAATGTTTACACTCTGTGAGAGATCAGCACAATTATTCCACCAGAGAAGCTTCTCATGGTCTTTTTGTCCCACCAAAGCCCAGGACTGAGGTGTTCAGAGGTGTAGACATGTGGTGCAAGTTGACCTCTGCTGTTCCTGTAATAAGCATTGGAAATCAAATCTATTATTATAGTTGTCTAATTGTAAATAAAGTCATATAACTCTGGGATTTTTAATGCACTTCTTTATTTAGGACAGTTTAATGTTTACATGCCTCCCTTCAGTTAACACTATAATTATGTTTTAGGGACAAAGTTTCTAAATGTGATCATCTTCAGTTATTTGTATTAACATTTATCTGGTAGTTGTATGTATTGCTTCTAACTCTGGAATATGTTATAACATGAATGTATATTAGGTTGAGCACTGGTTATGCAACACTGATTACTGATAAGGTTGGATGCCATGTTTCAGTCCCTAGAATTATTTCCGCCTTTAGTGCAGTAAAGGTATTTAACATTTATAAAATGTTCGGAACCTGCTCTGTTGTATGTTCCTCATTTGTGTTCCTCCCATGCAAATCTTCAGAATTTGAATAAGATGAACAAAATGAGCCGACAGTGACCTTATCTACTATTCTATCAACATGTCCATGAAAAGGTGGTCCAACGAAAACCCAAATACTTTCTTCAAAGGGTTAATATCCATCCGAGATGTAAAATGACACATTTTATATTTACATGAACTTCATATTAGTGTCAGAGGTGGGTAGAGTACCCAAAAATTGTACTCAAGTAAGAGTAGCACCGCTCTAATATTATTTTACTCAAGTAAAAGTAAAAAACAAGTATTTAGTAAAAAGCTGGATAATAACATCAGATTTAATATTTATAAATTATGCTGGCAAACAGATTGTATGTGCAATGACTAAAGAATAAAAAAAAATAAAAAATCCTGAACATGGAAGAACAAATTTTTGTTGAAAAAAAACACTTTTATGATTTTTTTTCAACATAAAACTTAGAAAACCAGTCCCTATAATGAGAACTGTTTATATGTTAGGACAGGATAACGAACTTCCACTGTTAATATCTGTTTACTTTATGTTTACCTGATTTTGGAATAGTTCCAATTACGCACAGAGGACAGAGTCAGCAATTTTCCACAAAAGTAGGAGTAGTGATACTTTACAAGAATATAATTCAAGTAAAAGTAAGAAGTACAACACAGTAAACCTGCTCCTAAAAGTACTTTTTTTTCAAATCGTTACTCGAGTAAATGTAACCAATTACTACTCACTTTTATTAGTGTTAACAGGGTTTAGCATTTATTACAAACTGTCTGATCATAGACAAAAGTTTCCGTTTTATCCAGTGAGGGATTATTATTATTATTTTTTTTTATATATACTTCAAATATTTAAGTATTTCTTATTTTCCTTTTCTCACACAACAGTTTAAATTTTGGTTTAAAATGATACCCTCATCATCCTCATCAGAATAAAGGGAGCAGATCTGTTGCTATGGAGTTACCTGGCAACCCTGGGGCCATGGGTTGCCAGTTTGAGGAGAAACACGGTGAGCTAGATCAGCATATAAAGCTGATTCTAAAATCGTGTTCAAACTACAACAGCTCCAGATTAAAGCAGCCATGAATTGAAAGAGTTAATATTCAGTGGAAGAGATTGCTGCTAAAGGTGTGATTGCTTTAAAAGGATTTTTAATACCTGGCAAATTTATTAAAGATCAAAATGTTTTCATCCTCAGCAGAGAAGGAAGCTGACATCAGGATTGATGCTGGTGGAAGGTGAGCGAGGAGGAGAGCTTCTAGGTTAGGAAGGATTTGAAGGTCAGAAATCTTCTGGACATCAGAAGGAACCAGCAGAGTCTGAGGATAAAACTGGCTGTAGTTGATGCTCCAGGTCTCCTGGTGGTAAGCGGAAGGCAGATATCAGTAGATCCATCTCAGCGTTTCTCCTGGTCCTCATTCACAGATTATCCAAATTCACAGATTAATGCAGTTAAAATCATCTAACCCAGGGGTCTTCAAAGTTTTCCAGACCAAGGATCCCCAAACTGATCCCCAAATAAGATGGAGCAGGGACTCCCTCATTTTGTATATATTGTATGAAATTGCGTTATATCAAACAGTGGTGTCAAAAGTACACAAATTTGTTACTTGAGTAGAAGTATAGATACTGCAGTTTAAAAACACTCTGGTAAAAGTTGAAGTATCAAATTGACCTCGTTACTCAAGTAAAGGTGAAAAAGTATGTGCTCCAAAACCTTTAAAATAAACAGCCAGATGCCGCTATATGAACTGAAAACTAAATTTTTCGACCATTTTGAAAAATTCTTTAAGAAAGGGCCAAGGATGAGGGAGGTCTTGTTGGTCTCCATCTCCCAACACGCTCTCGCCTGTGTCCAACCTTTCAGACATTTCAACATCT